ATAGACAGGCACGTCTTGAAAATAAACAATGAATAAAATCACTTTAAAACAAATAATACCCATGGGCACCACACTTTTCGTAAAATGAACAATCACATAAACGTACTATATTATCGTCACCACACGTCTCGTAAGATGAACAATTAAATCACATAAACATACTATGTTCATAGGCATCACACTTTTCATAGATGGACGAATAAATCATATAAAGACAGATTATACCCATGAACATCAAACTTCTCGTAAAATGAACAATATTTAAATCACCTAATTAACTCAAGGACAATATCATCATCATCAACAACAACAACTAAGACAACAAAAATAACAAAACAACAATAATAACAACAACAACAACAACAACAACAACAATAATAATAATAATAATAATAATAATAATAATAATAATAATAATAATAATAATAATAGAAATAATAATAATAATACATGAGCATGAGCAACAGGAAGGGACGTCGAAAAAGTTATTGTTAGAGAAACTATAATACTGACTTCCACTACACAGATGATTCAGGATTAAGAGATACTACGCTCTCACGAAATAAGACCAATATCTATGATGTAGTGGTTAGGCACTTCGCCCTCTCATGCAGGAGATCAGAGTTCGATTCCCGAGTGGGGAAAATTTTTATTGAGTATCTCAATCCTTCTGCTGGGCTGTTGCGTCCCTCGTAGCTCGGGTTGACCCTTGCATGTAGGGTTAAATCCTGCCTCCTAAACGACCTAAAGTTGAGTCGATGGGGTCGTAAAAATACCGATATAAGTAAAAGACATTTTGAAACTGTCCGCTTGTCGCACTGCTTTGAGTATGCAACTGAGACGGTTTTCGTCCGTTCGTCTCTCTTCACTCTGAGGTGACGTAGTACTTAAAATCTATGTATATTTGTTAGTTCGTGTGTTTGTTTGTTTGTTGGATGGTTAGTTAATTTGTCTGTCTGTTTGTTTGTAGAGGCAGGTGGAGAGGAGATATTTCAGTTAAAAAACAAACATATATAGCGCATCTGAGTGAAATATATTATGCCTTAGTCGTAACTCGTAAATACTTTACAGAGGGAAATGAAATACAGACAACAGAGAGTAGCGATTAGACATAATCTTTCATGATGAAAATAACTTAAGCTTGATTCCAACCCGATAAATATATTCTATCTATTCTGCATGTATGGCGCTTTGCATACTCACAGACGACTTTGGCAAGATACGGCATAGCCTGGGCAATAGACATAGCGGAAGTTGGTTGTCCAAATACTACTTCCCTCCCTTCAGATATTGTCTCCCTTGATTATATGCTCGAAAAGAAGGACATGGTCAATAAGCTTAGAATCTATGATTTATACAGCATGTATTCCGCTTTTTTCTTCTTCTAGGAAATGTACATCACGGCATAGGCATGTTGGCCTTGACATACTAGTTTGAAGCACCCAGCCCTAATTGTTTTATAGTTTTATATAAAGATGTATACACTCCCATCGACACAATTTACAATTTAGATAATTTAGGAGGCTGTCCTCGATCCTGCCCTTCAGGGCCAACCTGGGTTGAGAGGTATGAAAATTCCCAGCAGAAAGATGGAGATTCTCGGTCAAAAGTCTCTCCAAACAAGAATCAAACTCAGATCATCTGTGCACGACGGCTAAACGGTTACTAATCGCTACAGCACAGACGTCGGAATTGTATTGTAATGCATAAAAGGCCTTTTTAATCTTCGTGGTATTTCCGAGGGGGAAGCTCTAGGTGAGGAAGAGGTAGAGGGAGAGAAAGACACACACACACACACACACACACACACACACACACACACACAC